TTATATGGAAAAGAATAATGCAGTAAAATATTACTGATGAAATAGTATAAAGGAAGGTATAGAAGTTACAATTTTAATTAATTTCCTAGTCGACGATCAAGAAAACAAACAATCTTATATTTTAAAGTGGTAATGGCAATATCATAATTACGATTAAGAAATCATCCTCACCTCATTACCCAAACCAGACCAGAATTGATCATTGCCTATTTTTCTTTCTAAACTGGCTAGGAGATCAAGTGCCGCTGCTCGGACTCGAGGATCTTTGTTGCCTAGTTGCTGTGAAACGAGGATGGAGAGACGAGTCTGGCCAAGAGACGTCTGACCGTGGTGCAGTACCAATTGGTAGATCCCGCTAAGAAGGCCTTTATTATAGATATTGAGAAAAGATTTTAAATAAATGATAAACATAAAATAATAAACCAACTTCAGAACTAGTCTTAATACCGTAAATCATCTAATTTTTGGAGATATTTACGAATATAAATGGTAATTTGAATTAGGACAATGGAAAGATGTCGCACTAACGTAATTCGATATGAAGAGTAAAAAAAGAGCACTTAAATTAACGCTAAGTGTATCGATATAAATGTTTTGCTTGTAAAAAGCCTTATTTGTGCTTCTTCATTGTTAAAAATGGATATTTATTTCACCTATATAGATTTACGTCTGATTATAACCTTGGCCAAATAATAAAGTCATCTTCCTAATTCAGCACATTTGTATAACCAATAGTAAGAGAAATATCGTGAGTCAAAGGATTGCTGTGCTTCTAAATTGTATTAATGATTTTAGCCGAGTGGTTCAATTTATTAATCATATGCTCCTATACACGTTTTAGAGTGTAATGACTTGTTTGGTACGATAGAATTCGGCTGCCATGTTAGGCACAAATACGCACTTAGAGATTAAGATCACACAAACTAGTTCTTCCTGTAAATCTTAGAAATTCAACAAATCTAGAAGTAGCGTTAAAAAAAATAATTTCAGAAGTTGTTTGACCTTAGTTTCGCAACTTGGTCATATTGGCAGGAAGACCTCGAGGAACGCACCTTGTCCGGAGTCCATAGTATGTATGATCATTTGCAGTGTCAAAACGTGGACTTGGTACATTC